GAGTCAAGCTATTCTCCAAAGCACCTGAAGGCAGGACAAGAAGCAACGGATGGAAACTAATCAAGGAGAGAAGCAACCTAGAACTAAGGAGAAACTTCCTGACAGTTAGAACAATTAACCAGTGGAACAACCTGCCTCCAGAAGTGGTGAATGCTCCAACACTGGAAGTTTTTAAGAAGAGACTGGACAGCCATTTGTCTGAAATGTTATAGGGTTTCCTGCCTGAGCACGGGGTTGGACTTGATGACCTCCAAGGTCCCTTCCAACTTTATTATTTTCTGCCCACACAAATACAAGTGCAGTTTTCTGCTCATTCGCTATCCAAATTACTAAGATTGAAGTCCATTGGGTTGACAGGAGGGTTATGTGCCATCACATCAGTATCACCACCATCCTGTGGCACAGTGGTTAGAATACAGTACTGCAGGCTAACTCACTGCTTACTCCAGGAGCTCGATTCTCACTGGCTCAAGGTTGACTCAACCTTCCATCTTTCTGAGATAGGTAAAATGAGGACCCAGATTGTTGGGGCGCAATATGCTGACTCTGTAAACCGCTTGGCAAAACCGGTAGCTAATTTTTTTTGTTGCCCAGGCCTAGAATGGGCTTCCAGAAGTGGCATCCACACAGAGAACTGGTTGTTCCCATATTTGAATCCCACCACTGTTTGTAGCCCTGTGCAACCTTTCTTGAGCTGTCACTTTCCAGATCTGATAGTCTGCAATGCCCGTATTTTCCCAGAGGAAGCAGATTTGGGGACAGTGCGCTCTCCCAAAGCTGATGCTTGCTCCCTTCCAGTAGGTGCCCATACCTCTGGCTAATAAAGCTGGTAATGGGATGTAGCTGTGATATTTTCTGGTGATCTCCCATCCACCTGATCTACAAAGTGATAAACTGTGGGGGGGGGGGAGGAACTGCAGAACCAATTACAAATGTTGGCATCACCTTCCCCACTTTTTCTCCCTAGCATAGTTGGAGTGTTAATAACAAGCCTTGCAGAGCCAAAGAACTAGCCAAAGATTAATGCTGGCTGGAGAATTCTGGGAGTTGAAGTCCACACATCTTAAAGTTGCCAAGGTTGAGAAACTTGACGTACAGGATCGTCTGCAAAAACTCATGCCACAATGCAATTGTGGCCTTTAAAGGGCTCCCAGCTTATTTGCTAGTATAAAGGAAGCTTAGGCTATTTTAATCATTTGTTGGATGGCGTCTTAAGTCACCTGGTTTTCTATTCTGTGGTTTAGGCAGAGTCAGGAGAAAACTCAGTTGAACATGGATTGGAAGTGGGTCTTTCAATATTGGGTTTCTTATCTTCTACATATCTTTCTTCTACAGTACATATCTAAAATTTTGGGAAAAAAAATGTCCCAAGTACTATAGCAAAATTGTACCAAGCATGATACTATTACAAAACAAGCTGGCATGACTGTTCTCTGTATGTATAAATCTCTTTCTCCTCCCATAGTTCTTTCTGGTTTTGATCTGTTTTTCTGTTTTTCCCATTTTCCCCTCTCTTGCTAGCTATTCTAATAGTATTCAGTGGATGTATTTGCCCACCCTGCTAAACCAAGCCAATTAAGGACTTAGCAGCTGCATTTGCATCACGTACTAACCTTAGCGTGGGTGAGCCTTGGTTAGGATATTTGTGGCCTACTGTGCTACAGAAATCTCGACTTACAATACATTTAGCGACCATTCAAAGTTACAAGGGCACTTTAAAGGGACTTACAACAGCTCCTGGCACTTAACAACTATCTCAGCACATGGTCAAAATTCAGCTAGTTGGCAAGCAACTAGTTGGCAAGTATTTATGATGATTGCAGTGTCCCAGTATCATGTGATCACTATTGATTACCTTCCTAGCTTACTTCTGACAAGCAGAGTCAATGGGGGAATGCAGATTTGCATAGTAGTAGTAGTAGTAGTAGTAGTAGTAGTAAAGTTGGAAGGGACCTTGGAGGTCATCTAGTCCAACTCCCTGCTTGTAGGAAACCCTATACCAGGGGTGTCAAACTTGCAATGTCACGTGACATGTCACGACGTATTATGATTTTTTTCCCCATTGCCAGCAAGCGGGTGGCTGCGGTTTTGCTATGATGCATCCAGCCCGCGAGCCGGCAGTTTGACATCCCTGCCCTATACCATTTCAGACAAATGGCTGTCCAGTCTGTTTTTAAAAACTTCCAGTGTTGGAGCATTCACAGTTTCTGGAGGCAAATTGTTCCACTAATTAATTGTTCTAACTGTCAGGAAGTTTCTCCTTAGTTCTAGGTTGCTTCTCTCCTTGATTAGTTTCCATCTGTTGCTTCTTGTCCTGCCTTCAGGCGCTTTGGAGAATAGCTTGACTCCCTCTTCTTTGTGGCAACCCCTGCCACAAACTCCTGCCCTAATGATCACATCACTGATGAAATCCAAGTATAATTTCAGCCGTCGTGTTCAACTGCAAAGCATGTGTCACATTGCCTGATAAACATTTCAGAAAAACACTAATTTTAAACAGTTTCTGGCTGGTTTCCATAAAGGGGCAGAATTCTTTCTGGACAGGTGAGTAGGCAGCTGCACACATATGGCTGAGCAATGTCTCCCCATCTTTACAGATAATTGTTAACTTACAACCATTTGTTCAGCAACTACTCAAAGTTACAACTTTGAAAAAAGTGGCTTACAACCACAATTGGGACCAGAATTTCTGCGGCTAAAGGCAATTGTTAAGTGAGTCACGCCGAATTTTACACCGGATTTGGCTACCGTTGTGAAACAAATCACGGCAGTTTTTAAATGATTCATGTGATCATGAAATGAATCCGGCTTTCCCATTGGTTTTGCTTGTCAGAAGCCAGCTGTGAAGCTCACAAATAGAAATCCTATGACTCTGGGACACTGCAACTGTCGTAAACACATGCCAAGAGCCTTCGATCACGATTGTGGGGATGCTGCGACATAAGTATGAGGACTGGTCGTAAGTCACTTCTTTCAGTGCCTTTGTGACTTCAAATCATCACTAAACAAATGGTTGAAAGTTGAGGACAACCTGCGTTACTATAGGTTCCTTGGAGATTTGGTGAAGCCTCTGCAGTCCAGGATAAAAGTAGACAGTTTGTCTTTAAGAGGAGCGCTTTTTATGATTAAAACGCAAGCAAATGCAACATTTTTTTTTCCCAGCTAGTCACCTTGGGGCCTAGTAGAACTAAAAAAAATCAAAATCATTCAATGACTAACAAGACTGTTCCCAGAGGAGATGGGCTCTCGTTAAGCAGAGAAAATGAGTGACTTCAGATTTTAGATCAGGGGTCTTCAAACTTGGCCCTTTTATGACTTGTGGACTTCAACTCCCAGAATTCCTCAGCCAGTGTGCCTCCAAACTTGATGTCTTTAAGACTTGTGGACTTCAACTCCCACAATTCTGGGAATTGAAGTCCACATGCCTTAAAGTTGCCAAATTTGGAGAGCCTGGCCTATGGCAGTATTCCTCAACTGCAACAACTTTAAAATGTATGGACTTCAACTCCCAAAATTCTCCTCCTGAGAAACACACGGAACCTGGAAGCACCTTTTCCGACTCATAAGATTTTATTAAAAGGCACCGTCTTTTGTTTGTTTGTGCTTTAATCACTTCAAGCATCTGATGAAAGTGACACAGGGCTCATTCTGCCTTTCAATCCAATGTGGTAATCAAACAAGGTGCTAGAGTTTAGGCCAGTGGTGGCGAACCTATGGCACGGGTGCCAGAGGCGGCACTCAGAGCCCTCTCTGTGGGCACGCGCGCCGTCGCCCCAGTCCTAGGCGTTCAGCTGGGTTTTATAAAACCTTTTCGCTTTAGGCCTCCGCCGCCATGTGCAAAAAGAAAAAAAGGTTCAACCAGTCAATTTCAACTTCTCGCGGGAAAAAAAAAGATCTTGCAAAGTTAGGATTGATTGAACTTTTTAGTCCCACCCAGTCTGCTATTACCACAGCCACGCCCACCCAATGGGCCACACCCACCCAATGGGCCACACCTACCCAGCACTGGACGATGCATAAGTAGGTTTTGAGTTGCAGTTTGGGCACTCAAGTCTCTAAAAGGTTCGCCATCACTGGTTTAGGCATTAGGCATTTTCCCCCTAACATGGGAATTAAATTATGTGGTGAAAGAAGACTATATATGAAAGGCAGAGCAAACCTTTTTGAAGAAGACTTATGCTCTGTTATTTTAGAAGCACGCACAATTTGTCTATTTCGGGGGGGGGGGGAAACAAGAGTAACTGAGCCCGGGATATAGGCCTAGAACAGGGGTAGGCAACCTTGGCTCTTTTATGACTCGTGGACTTCAACTCCCAGAATTCCTGAGCCAGCATGGCTCAGCATGGAAACCTCTCCCTTTCCCCTCAGCATGGCTGGCTCAGGAATTCTGGGAGTTGAAGTCCACGAGTCATAAAAGAGCCAAGGTTGCCTACCCCTGGCCTAGAATGAGCAAGAGGCCCTTGGACTCTGCTGCCTTTCTTTAAATTTGTAAACTTCAAGGCTGCAGTTGTGTCACTAGCTTTTTCTGACAACAGAAAAATCTGGAGAACAGGAAAACAAAATAAAACGCCTGAATTCTGTTATCATGATATTCCTGTGTTTATTTCTTCAAAATATTTATATTCTGCCTAGATCTTAGACATTTCTTACAGGACATCTGGTTTGTGCATCAAAGAATAGCCTTTACGTATGCGTTCTCTGTTTCTATATGTTACTCATTTCTCTTAAGAGTTCACCCATTACCCCCCAAAAAAAGAAGTGATGAAACAAGGCAGAGGCTTCCTGTAAGGGAAAAAACCCCATCCTTACTAAAGAGTCAGAACTGAAGAAGCTTCTTGGATGAGAAGCGAAACATCTTCAAGGAAAAACAATGTCCAGTTGTCTTTTGAAAAAGCACCTTTGGGACNTGCCCTCGGGGGGGGCTACTGGGTGGGCATGGCCAGCTCTACATCGTTCGTGTCAAGGGTACCTGTGGGGGCCTGGGCAGGAGTGGGACAGATCTGAGGGTCTCTGGCAGAAGGGGGTGGGACTGGGGCAAAGGCCAAGGCATGGTGCATTTCTTCATTCCTCACAAAGGGTGACACCTCCCCAGCATGCACCCAGGGGGCGGGGCCAATGCAGCAGGGGCCGGTTCCTCGCTGTTTCCAGATGGCATTGTGGAGCAAAGACTGAGTACATTTCAGCATAGATGGCCACCACAAAATTGTACATTGGCTCCTGGCTGGCCTGGGCCAGGGCCATGGCAGCGGGGGCCATTCCCTTACTGTTTCCGGAATGGCTTCGTGGGCCACATGAAACCACTTTGCGGGCCGCACCCAGCCCCCCGGGCCTTGTGTTTGACGTGTCTGATCTAGTTGGTTCCAGATTAGAAAAGGCTGTTCTATCCCCATTTCGTCCAGTTTATGCTAAGCCCCTCTCTTTGTTCTTTCCTCCAGCTGCAATTTACTGTAGACTTTCTGTTCATTTAACCCATTATTTTAATCTTCAATATTTTAAACCGTTCCCCCATGCATTACCCCCACCACCACCACTATGGTCTCTTACAACTGTCCCTGATTATCAGGCTGCTCGTTTCATTAACTTCTTTATTATTGGCAATTAGCACATTAAAGCATCAGAGGGCATGTACACTAATAAAATGCAGCCTGCACTAATGCAATCCACTTCGTTTCCAAATTAAACATGACATTGATATTATGTATTTTCTACAGTGGGAAAGTAGAAAAATGGACTGGATAATCTAGATATAAACAAGACAAAAATATTTTTTTTTTTAAAAAAAGACTACATAATTCTATAATAGTCACTGTGTTGTTGTATAGTACAGTCACTATATAAAATTTTAAAATATAGTACATGAAGTTTGGATAAGGGGCCATGGTAGCATATCATGATAACCATGAGGATTACGCTTGATGAAGACTTTGTAATAGAAAGCTATAGGATTCTGTGTTCAGAATCAGAAGGTGTTTGTTTTCAGACTAACCAAAGTTAGGAAAAGGTGTACATTTTTATGGGGTACAGAAATAATTGTGGCCTGAAGTTTATGCCTTTTCAATCTGAAAAGGTGGTCCCAGATTCTGTATAGAAGGTTGTCATACATACTGTATTTTAAACAGATACCAGATTTTATCAATTCATGTTTGTTTGCATCTTTCACATTTCCTTCTTTCCTTCTTTCCTTCCCTGCCTGCAGATGCTGTCCAGTTTTCTTTTGTCTTTCTGCTTAAAAGAGAAATGGCTTTGTTTCTAAACCAGTGTTTCTCAATCTCAGCAATTTTTTTCAAGAACTGGATTTAAACTCTTAGAATTCCCCAATCAGTATCTATGGTTAACATCCATAGATTGCTCAGGTCAGTATTTTGGATTAAGGCATGATACACTGAAATATCAACTAATGCCATGAGCTGATGCATTCATTTTCATTCATTCATTTCCCACCTCTACCATACAAATCCAACACACTTCCTCTTCCTATTTTCCCCACAACAACAACCCTGTGAGGTGGGTTGGGCTCCGAGAGACAAAAAGAGAGATTGGCTCAAAGTCACCCGGTTGGCTTTCATGGCTAAGATAGGACTTGAACTCAAGATTTACTGCTTTCTAGTCTGATGCCTTAATCAGTAACCCAAACTGGCTCTGATTGCACTACGGTAAAATGTGGGCTAGTCTGGTGTAGGGTTCATGCAAACACACCCACTGAATATTAAAATCTGCACATCAGGTTCTATGTTATGTTCACATCTCATGCTAAGACCATAACTCAGTTCTGCGAATCACATGGTATGTTGAAAAAAGTACATGACATGACCTCTGTAGGTGTTGTGTGAATCAGTCTGTCAGGTTATTAAGCCTTAATGTTAAACCTGGCTCCCCTTGCCAGAATACAGCCCCATCCCAATTATATACACTATTATAGTAGAATTACAAGTGATATTGCATTAGTCTATTCAGAAGGTAATATAGTAGTCTTTTAAAAAATAATAGTAAATAAATGCAGCAGTTTTCTTTCCTTGATAATTTGTTATTTGAATTCTGAATCTTTTTTTTTTAAACCCTTTAATTTTAAGGTTGCAACCTGCAAAATAACAGAATTGTTTAAAAAGTCATGAAAACTGAATTTCTCTCTCTCTGGGTGTATAATATATATATATTCCCCCAAATGTGTTGTAGAGCAAGGGGAGAAAGCATTTATATAATTTTTATTATATATTCTTATTATATATATATTCCCCCAAATGTGTTGTAGAGCAAGGGGAGGAAGCATTTATTTATAACCAGAACAAGCATAAAAAAACACGGGGGCTGTTTTGAATAGACAAGAGACCATTTGAGTATTTAATATTCCTCTACTTTTTAAAAACGTTCATTTCGATATTTTTAAAAAACACCTTCCAATCTTTCTGGCAGCATGAAAAAAAAAAACCTGAAAACTCCTTCCAAAGATCACTTTTCAAATTTACCAATTGCTTTTTTTTTTCTTCCTGGGAACCTGCAAGAACTGTATTCCTTTTGCCCCTTCCTAGTTGAATTGTGTTGTATTGTATTTCAGATTGTAGTGCTCATTCTATTGTATTTCAGACTGTGTTGATGAAAATCCTTTCAGCTCTCTTTGTCATTCAAGTAAGCTTTCCAACCTAGATGGTCCAGAATGATTTTCCTTGAGTTTTTGGCTTGGGGGCTTTGACAAAACCCATTTCCTAGTCATTCTTTTCACCAGAGACTACTTAACTCCAGGCCCTTGACAGCAGACCCATTCCGTCCTCATCAGAACAGTTTAGAGAAGAACAAAAGGTTGAAATTTGACCCCCAGAGGCAAATCACCACAGGGGACTATTATTGCTTTGAATAAACCATTAGCTTTAATTTGGCCAGTAACCAGATCAGATGGGTAATTAAGACCTCCTTCAAGTCAAACTCAGCTACAGTTTTCTTGGGCATAAGACTGAAGTACACTGGATGGCCTTGGTCTTTTTCCACAAATGTTTTTTCCCCAACATCCCACTCTGATCTACTGCTCTGAGGTTTCTGAGGTGAATCTCATTTAACTATAATCTCAACCAGCCCTGATTAGATTTCTAGCCATGATAATGTCAGCAGATGCTGCCACCTGTTGATGCCTCTCTGGATTACAGGGAGTGAATTATGTTTCTGAAAGCTCAACCAATCAAACCTGCTCCGTGTAGAAACTGGGCTTAAGTTGCCAGCCAAGGAAATGGCTTAAGGTTTCCCATCAGACAGACATTTGTGGGATCCTTGGTGGTTTTCTTGCAGATGTTTCATTACCAAACTACGTAGATAACATCATCAGTGCTGGCAAAACCACCTAGCTCAGAGAATACCAAGGACCCCACACTTCCACCCTGAGTTAGAAATATTCTATCAGTAAATAGAGGTTTACTTCAACCATTTTCTGCCCACGCAAATAGAAGTGCAGTTTTCTGCTCATTCGCTATCCAAATTACTAAGATTGAAGTCCATTGGGTTGACAGGAGGGTTATGTGCCATCACATCAGTATCACCACCATCCTGTGGCACAGTGGTTAGAATACAGTACTGCAGGCTAACTCACTGCTTACTCCAGGAGCTCGATTCTCACTGGCTCAAGGTTGACTCAACCTTCCATCTTTCTGAGATAGGTAAAATGAGGACCCAGATTGTTGGGGCGCAATATGCTGACTCTGTAAACCGCTTGGCAAAACCGGTAGCTAATTTTTTTGTTGCCCAGGCCTAGAATGGGCTTCCGGAAGTGGCATCCACACAGAGAACTGGTTGTTCCCATATTTGAATCCAACCACTGTTTGTAGCCCTGTGCAACCTTTCTTGAGCTGTCACTTTCCAGATCTGATAGTCTGCAATGCCCGTATTTTCCCAGAGGAAGCAGATTTGGGGACAGTGCGCTCTCCCAAAGCTGATGCTTGCTCCTTTCCAGTAGGTGCCCATACCTCTGGCTAATAAAGCTGGTAATGGGATGTAGCTGTGATATTTTCTGGTGATCTCCCATCCACCTGATCTACAAAGTGATAAATTGGGGGGGGGGGAAGGAACCTGCAGAACCAATTACAAATGTTGGCATCACCTTCCCCACTTTTTCTCCCAAGCATAGTTGGAGTGTTAATAATAAGCCTTGCAGAGCCAAAGAACTAGCCAAAGACTAATGCTGGCTGGAGAATTCTGGGAGTTGAAGTCCACACATCTTAAAGTTGCCAAGGTTGAGAAACTTGACGTACAGGATCGTCTGCAAAAACTCATGCCACAATGCAATTGTGGCCTTTAAAGGGCTCCCAGCTTCTTTGCTAGTATAAAGGAAGGTTAGGCTATTTTAATCATTTGTTGGATGGCGTCTTAAGTCACCTGGTTTTCTATTCTGGCAATGTGGTTTAGGCAGAGTCAGGAGAAAACTCAGTTGAACATGGATTGGAAGTGGGTCTTTCAATATTGGGTTTCTTATCTTCTACATATCTTTTTTCTACAGTACATATCTAAAATTTTGAAAAAAAATGTCCCAAGTACTATAGCAAAATTGTACCAAGCATGATACTATTACAAAACAAGCTGGCATGACTGTTCTCTATATGTATAAATCTCTTTCTCCTCCCATAGTTCTTTCTGGTTTTGATCTGTTTTTCTGTTTTTCCCATTTTCCCCTCTCTTGCTAGCTACTCTAATAGTATTCAGTGGATGTATTTGCCCACCCTGCTAAACCAAGCCAATTAAGGACTTAGCAGCTGCATTCACATACTAACCTTAGCGTGGGTGAGCCTTGGTTAGGATATTTGTGGCCTACTGTGCTACAGAAATCTCGACTTACAATACATTTAGCGACCATTCAAAGTTACAAGGGCACTAAAAAGGGACTTACAACAGCTCCTGGCACTTAACAACTATCTCAGCACATGGTCAAAATTCAGCTAGTTGGCAAGCAACTAGTTGGCAAGTATTTATAATAATAATAATGATAAAGTTGGAAGGGACCTCGGAGGTCATCTAGTCCAACCTCCTGCTCAGGCAGGAAACCCTATACCATTTCGGACAAATGGCTGTCCAGTTTCTTCCTAGTATCATGTGATCGCTATTGATTACCGTCCTAGCTTACTTCTGACAAGCAGAGTCAATGGGGGAATGCAGATTTGCATAATAGTAGTAGTAGTAGTAGTAATAAAGTTGAAAGGGACCTTGGAGGTCATCTAGTCCAACCCCCTGCTTAGGTAGGAAACCCTATACCAGTGGTGTCAAACTTGCAACGTCACGTGACATGTCGCGACGTATCGTGATTTTTTTTCAATTGCCAGCAATGGGGTGGGCACGGTTTTACTATGATGCATCCGGCCCACGAGCCGGCAGTTTGACACCCCTGCCCTATACCATTTCAGACAAATGGCTGTCCAGTCTCTTCTTAAAAACTTCCAGTGTTGGAGCATTCACCGCTTCTGGAGGCAGGTGGTTCCACTGGTTAATTGTTCTAGGTTGCTTCTTTCCTTGCTTAGTTTCCACCCGTTCCTTCTTGTCCTGCCTTCAGGTGCTTTGGAGAATAGCTTGCCTCCCTCTTCTTTGTGGCAACCCCTGCCACAAATCCCCGCCCTAATGATCACATCACTGAGGAAATCGAACTATAATTTTAGCTGTCGTGTTCAACTGCAAAGCGTGTGTCACATTCCCTGATAAACTTTTCAGAAAAACACTAATTTTAAACAGTTTCTGGCTGGTTTCCATAAAGGGGCAGAATTCTTTCTGGACAGGTGAGTAGGCAGCTGCACACATATGGCTGAGCAATGTCTCCCCAATTTTACAGATAGTCCTTGACTTACAACTATTTGTTCAGCAACTATTCAAAGTTACAATGGTACTGAAAAAAGTGCCTTACAACTGGTTCTTGCACTTACAACCACAATTGGGACCAGAATTTCTGCGGCTAAAGGCAACTGTTAAGTGAGTCACGCCGAATTTTACGCCGGATTTGGCTACCGTTGTGAAACAAATCACGGCAGTTTTTAAATGATTCATGTGATCATGAAATGAATCTGGCTTTCCCATTGGTTTTGCTTGTCAGAAGCCAGATGTGAAGCTCACAAATAGAAATCCTATGACTCTGGGACACTGCAACCGTCGTAAACACATGCCAAGAGCCTTCGATCACATGATTGTGGGGATGCTGCGACATAAGTATGAGGACTGGTCATAAGTCACTTCTTTCAGTGCCTTTGTGACTTCAAATCATCACTAAACAAATGGTTGAAAGTTGAGGACAACCTGCGTTACTATAGGTTCTTGGAGATTTGGTGAAGCCTCTGCAGTCCAGGATAAAAGTAGACAGTTTGTCTTTAAGAGGAGCGCTTTTTATGATTAAAACGCAAGCAAATGCAACATTTTTTTTCCCCAGCTAGTCACCTTGGGGCCTAGTAGAACTAAAAAAAATCAAAATCATTCAATGACTAACAAGACTGTTCCCAGAGGAGATGGGCTCTCGTTAAGCAGAGAAAATGAGTGACTTCAGATTTTAGATCAGGGGTCTTCAAACTTGGCCCTTTTATGACTTGTGGACTTCAACTCCCAGAATTCCTCAGCCAGTGTGCCTCCAAACTTGATGTCTTTAAGACTTGTGGACTTCAACTCCCACAATTCTGGGAATTGAAGTCCACATGCCTTAAAGTTGCCAAATTTGGAGAGCCTGGCCTATGGCAGTATTCCTCAACTGCAACAACTTTAAAATGTATGGACTTCAACTCCCAAAATTCTCCTCCTGAGAAACACACGGAATCTGGAAGCACCTTTTCCGACTCATAAGATTTTATTAAAAGGCACAGTCTTTTGTTTGTTTGTGCTTTAATCACTTCAAGCATCTGATAAAGTGACACAGGGCTCATTCTGCCTTTCAATCCAATGTGGTAATCAAACAAGGTGCTAGAGTTTAGGCCAGTGGTGGCGAACCTATGGCACGGGTGCCAGAGGCGGCACTCAGAGCCCTCTCTGTGGGCACGCGCGCCGTCGCCCCAGTCCTAGGCGTTCAGCTGGGTTTTATAAAACCTTTTCGCTTTAGGCCTCCGCCGCCATGTGCAAAAAGAAAAAAAGGTTCAATCAGTCAATTTCAACTTCTTGTGGGAAAAAAAAAGATCTTGCAAAGTTAGAATTGATTGATTGAACTTTTTAGTCCCACCCAGTCTGCTATTACCACCACAGCCACGCCCACCCAATGGGCCACACCCACCCAATGGGCCACACCCACCCAGCACTCGATGATGCATAAGTAGGTTTTGAGTTGCAGTTTGGGCACTCAGTCTCTAAAAGGTTCGCCATCACTGGTTTAGGCATTAGGCATTTTCCCCCTAATATGGGAATTAAATTATGTGGTGAAAGACAACTATATATCAGTGGTGGCGAACCTATGGCACGGGTGCCAGAGCCGGCACTCAGAGCCCTCTCTGTGGGCACGTGCGCCATCGCCCCAGTCCTAGGCCTTCAGCTGAGTTTTATAAAACCTTTTTGCTTTAGGCCTCCGCCACTGTGTATAAAAAAAAAAAGGTTCAATCAATCAGTCAATTTCAACTTCTCTGGGGGAAAAAAAAGATCTTGCAAAGTTGGAATTGATTGATTGAACTTTTTAGTCCCACCCAGTCTGCTGTTACCACAGCCACACCCACCCAATGGGCCACACCCACCAAATGGGCCACACCCACCTGGCACCCGATGATGCATAAGTGGGTTTTGGGTTGCAGTTTGGGCACTCGGTCTCTAAAAGGTTCGCCATCACTGCTATATATGAAAGGCAGAGCAAACCTTTTTGAAAAAGACTTATGCTCTGTTATTTTAGAAGCACGCCCAATTTGTCTACTTCTGTGGGGAAAAAAACAAGAGTAACTGAGCCCGGGATATAGGCCTAGAACAGGGGTAGGCAACCTTGGCTCTTTTATGACTCGTGGACTTCAACTCCCAGAATTCCTGAGCCAGCATGGCTCAGCATGGAAACCTCTCCATTTCTCCTCAGCATGGCTGGCTCAGGAATTCTGGGAGTTGAAGTCCACGAGTCATAAAAGAGCCAAGGTTGCCTACCCCTGGCCTAGAATGAGCAAGAGGCCCTTGGACTCTGCTGCCTTTCTTTAAATTTGTAAACTTCAAGGCTGCAGTTGTGTCACTAGCTTTTTCTGACAACAGAAAAATCTGGAGAACAGGAAAACAAAATAAAACGCCTGAATTCTGTTATCATGATATTCCTGTGTTTATTTCTTCAAAATATTTATATTCTGCCTAGATCTTAGACATTTCTTACAGGACATCTGGTTTGTGCATCAAAGAATAGCCTTTACGTATGCGTTCTCTGTTTCTGTATGTTACTCATTTCTCTTAAGAGTTCACCCATTACCCCCCAAAAAAAGAAGTGATGAAACAAGGCAGAGGCTTCCTGTAAGGGAAAAAACCCCATCCTTACTAAAGAGTCAGAACTGAAGAAGCTTCTTGGATGAGAAGCGAAACATCTTCAAGGAAAAACAATGTCCAGTTGTCTTTTGAAAAAGCACCTTTGGGACAACCCATGACCTGGATGATTGGGAATCTCCATAGACATCCTTACCACAAACAAAAATAATTTCAGATGAACTTCCAAGCTCCCACACATCACCTACAACTAAATATCTTGCTACAGGCTGGACTATTCCCTTTCCCCCTGTGAAGATTTGCATCAAGAGATATACAGATGTTCTCTGAGCCCAGTACTATGGCACACAGCTTCTGTTCTATTCAGCAGTTAAGAGAAATTCGTGTGAATGGGTCCATTCAGGAGTGTGCTGATTGCCCACTTCTCATTCTTTGCTGGGCCTGCCTTCTCCAAGCGCTTGGATACTGGCACCATCTGTAGTGGGCTTCAAGGAACCACAAGAACGACGTATCCTCTGGAGATGTGGATGTGATGTATGGGCATGACAGGACAGTTCCTGGAATTATGAATAACAAGGCAAGAAAAGGGTCTTGGCACAAAGACTGTCCAGAACAAAACCAAGTGGGTTTTTTTTCGTTTTCTACCATAAAAAATCCACTTTGCATCACCAAACTCTAAGATCAGAAGTGTGCATGGAGATTTAAGAAGAGAAGAGGTGGAATCTTAGTGAGGTTCTCTCTGGAGAACAGGGCATTCCCGACTAGGATTAAGTCCTTCAGCAATCTGCTCCAGAATAGATCAATTGAGTTGGGACAGGCTCCGGGGCAGTGTCTGTTTCCTCATCTCCCCAGAAATAGGTAATTAAATTGTCAGAATCCAGAATAGTGGCAGGCATAGTGTTCGCTTTGACTGGGTTAAAGGGGACCCCAGGATGTGCTTTGTGATGGTGCCTAGCCAGATGACTCCGTTGAACGTAGCCCTTCTCACAGTGGGAACACATGTAAGGCCTCTCTGCCTGGTGGAGCATCTGGTGCCGGGTCAGCGTTGACTTGACGGCAAAGCTCTTCCCGCAGATTTCACAGTGATAGGGCTTGTCCACCAGGTGGATTCTCTCGTGACGGTAAAGCTTTGACATAGAACAGAAACCTTCCCCACAGACCATGCACTTATAAGGCTTCTCCACCCCGTGTGTTCGCAAGTGCCTGTTCAGACTCCCACTGTGAGTAAAGGCCTCCCCACAAACGGGGCACATGAAGGACTTCTCCTCCACCGGAGGAGGCATCGGGAAAGGGAAGGGAACCGGGACCGGGTAGGAGAAGGCGTCCTCCCACAAGTCGCTCTTGAAAAGGCCTTCCTCTCTGTGGCTTCTCTGGTGCCGAGTGACACTTGTGCTACGGGTGAAGCTTTGCCCACAGTCGGGACATTTGTAGGGCTTCTCTCCCGTGTGGGTCATCTGGTGGGTAAGAAGGTTCAGATTCAGGCTGAAACTCCGCCCGCAGTAGAGACACGAGTACGGCTTCTCCCCCGTGTGGGTGCGCCAGTGTCGGGTCAGGGTTGACTTCCGGTTGAAAACTCGCCCGCATTCGGTACAGGGGTACATTCTCCCATCGGAGTAGAACTCCTGCTGGAAAGATGCTTCAAAGACATCTCCAAGACTGTCAAGGGATGCATCCCAAATCTCTTTTGGATAGTCACCTTGATAAATTGCTGGTTTAAACGGGCTTGCCCAGACCGGATAGTCCTCCGGTCCTTGGGAAAGGCTTCTTTCCTCGGGATCGTCAAAAATGGTAAAATGGAGCTCTACCTGCTGATCAGAGCTCTCTGGCTGGAGAACTGACCGCTTAGCGTCGGCTTCTGGTCTTCCTTCAGCCGGCAGAGATTCCTTCACAACGGATGGTAGCTGGACAGCTTTCTCACGCCACTGAACGGACCTATCCCACTGCCGCTCCGGGTAGCTCACCTCTGGTGATCCATCCCGTCCTATCTCACTGGCACAGAGTTTACCTTCGGAAATGCCCCCTTCGGATTCCTCCAGAATGGTGAAATGAAGCTCGACCTGCTGCTCAGGACCGGGCTTAGGGTACATTTCCACTCTTCTCTCCTGGGGCCTCCTGTCAGGTTCTGGGCGTAGCCTCTGTATTTCCGGCGAGGACCGGGAATGATCGGAATAAAGTAATTCATCATCCGGATCCAGCGGACAGGAGCTGTCCGAGGGCCGTAGCCCTGCGTCGATCTCAGAGGGCCAGAGTTTCCCCTGCGAAATACCCCCTTCCGATTCTTCCAATATGGTGAAATGCAGTTCAACTCGGGGTTCAAGGTCCTCCTCCTTCTCTTGGAAATTCTTCCCTCCTTTGGTGTCCTTCATTGTCCCATCACCTGCTAAGAAGAAAAAAGAAGAAGAAGAGGAGGAGTCCAGATATGTCAGCCTTTTGAGGCAGCCCAGACCAGGGAACCAAAGGTAGGAATGCTAATACGGGAAGTCCTCGGCTTGGGACCAAAATTTACGACCATAAGCAAGGTGGTTCTTAAGGAGGGGGAGAGGGAGGAGTTGCCCCTGAATTTAGGACATTTTTGCTACGGTTGTTAAGTCAATCACTGCGGTTGTTAAGTGAATCACGTTGTTAAGCAACTCTGCCTTCCCCCATTGGCTTTGCTGGTTGGAAGCCAGCTGGGAAGGTCGGAAATGGTGATCACCTGACGCCAGGAGGCTGCAAAGGCTGTCAGTACATAATTTAATCATGTGACCATGTGGATGCTATGACAGCTGTGCTAAGACTGGGTGGGTCATAACTCACTTTTTCCCAGTGCCGTTGTAACTTGGAACGGTCGCTAAATGAATGGCTGTAAATCGAGGACTACCTGTACTACTTTTATTGTTAAGATTACAGTAACAAAATTCTGCAAGTCTGAATGGGCCTCTCCCTTCCCCACCTTTGTATTCAAGAGAAGCAGGGAGGGTTAACTCTGAGTACAGGTTGTCCTCGACTTACGACAGGTCATTTAGTGACCGTTCAGAGTTGGAGCAGCACTGAGAAAAGGGATGTCTGACCGTTTTTCACAGTTACGACCTTTGAAGCATCCCCAGGATCATTGGATCAAAACCCAGATGCTTGGCAAGTGGTTCATCCTTATGACGGTCGGTGTGTCCCGAGGTCATGTGGTCCCCTTTGGCGACCTTCTGACAAGCAAAGTCAATGGGGAAGCCAAATTCACTTAACAACCATGTTCCTAACTTATCAGCCACAGTGATTCACTTAACAACTGTAGCAAGAAAGGGGCAAAACTCACTTAACAAATGTCTCACTTAACAACAGAAATTTTGGGGTCAATTGTGGTCGTAAGTTGAGGACTACCTGTACATTCCTGCTCTGGACTCTGATTTCTCTTATCTTACTGTTGCCTTGGCTGTGGCTGATTCCTGCCCTTCCAGATTATTCTTATGGCCCATTACAACAAAAATCAATAGTAACAAATATCACCCTACATTATTAACACACACACAAACACTCTGAAATGGTAAACCTTCAACATCTAGAAGGGGACTTCACTTAATTGGAACCCAACATGTATGGGGGGGAGGGAAGTTAGGCCTGAATAGGTCTTCTGAAGGAAGGAGAATTGGGGCAGAATTAGCATCCAATTGTCTTTCCTTTCCATTTTCAATATTTTTGTTGCAGTGGTCACTATTAATGTGAACTTCCCAGCTCTCATTCTTTCTCTGTTACAAATGCCAGGACACACACACACACACACACACACGAATCTACTGTTATTTACCCCCCTCCCCCTTTTTTATAAACAGTTTTTCCTAATTTTATTGAACACAGAGCATACATTTTCTAAGTGTTTCTTGGAAAATGTCCTTTGGTTCTCCCACTGCATATAATGTTACCTATCTACATTTGAACAGCTACTGTTCTGACACAAAAGAAATGAATAAAAATGAAGCTGAATTATTGTGTTTTCTATAAGCTGTATCTTGGGTCTTGAAATGACCGCTCCAATTCAAAAATAGCAAAAGACTTTTAAAAAAAGCAAAAGAAAAAAGTCTAAGGCTACACCTTTATATATTTTTATTTTTTTTATAAATAGCTCAAGGAAGCAAACAGACACAATTCTCCTCCCTCCTCCTATTTTCCCCATAACAACAACCCTCTGAGGTAAGTTGGGCTGAGAGAGAGTGACTGGCTGAAAATCTCCAGGCCAGTTTCCATGCCCAAGGTGGGACTAGAACTCACAGCCTCCCAGTTTCTAGCCTGATGCCTTAATCACTAGACCAGGGGTAGGCAACCTTGGCTCTTTTACGGACTTCAACTCCCAGAATTCCTGAACCAGCCATGCTGAGGGGAAAGGGAGAGGTTTCCAAGCTGAGCCATGCTGGCTCAGGAATTCTGGGAGTTGAAGTCCACGAGTCATAAAAGAGCCAAGGTTGCCTAGCCCTGCACTACTAGACCAAACAACATATCAGATATTAAACTGTCAAGAACAGATACTATCCTTGATCTTAGCCAACAATGTATGATTTATATAGCTGCCATTTCACTCAAGAACAAGATTAAAACACAATCACTAAAATAGCCCCTCAGCATCCAAAGATAAATCACCCCACTCACCATTAACACTGTAGTAGCAGAGATTATCTACTGACTTGAGCAAGGAACAGCATTCCTGTGGTGAATATAGCCAAAGCAACCTTACCTTCTCTCCTCCCTTTCCTTATTTTTTATTAGATTTTCTAATCCCTTTACTATTATTATTATTTTATAACTAAGACAGCGAACATACCCCCCTCCTCCTATTTTCTCCCTAATAACCCTGTCAGCTTTCATGCCTGAATTGGGACTAGAATTCACAGTCTCCTGGTTTCCAGCCTGGGGTCTGAACCATATTAAGCCAAACTGACTTTCTTATGCCACTTGAGTAAGCATATATATATATAGAATGCCATTGCACAAGGCTCCAGGGATGGCAACACATTCCTTCCTTGCAAGGATGTAATGCTGTAAAAGCTCTAGTCCAGTGGTTCTCAACCTTTTTAATTCCGCGACCCCAACCGGTCGTAAGTCGAGGACTAAACCGGTCATAAGTCGAGGACTAAACCGGTCGTAAGTCGAGGACTACCCAACCGGTCATAAGTCGAGGACTTTCCCTGCCCGGGAGCACCGCGCATGCATGGTTCCGCCCCCTGCGCCGGCCGAGGCGTAGCTGGCAAGCGGCAGAGACGGAGCAGGCCGACCATCAGCTGGCCCAGCCCAAGGGAGGTAAGGCACCTGCTGGAAAAGGGGAAAAAATGGTGGACAGCCTTGCTTGGCGACCCCCGTGAAATGGTCGATCGACCCCAAATGGGGTCCCGACCCACAGGTTGAGAACCACTGCTCTAGTCGTCACCGTGATTTATAGCCTGATACTTCAAGAATTTGGTCAAATTCCTTTCAGGCCATATAAATTGATGGCTATGCCTTTACCTTCTACTAGCAAATTCCACAGGTCTCTGTTCTGAGTCTCTTCCATCATGTACATTTACTAAATTTCAGCTTCTAATATTAGAGAGAAGACTCCCCCCCATTTCCTACTCTCTCTCTCTCTCTGTGTGTGTGTGTGTGTGTGTAGGGGGGGTTTACACACAGACATGATTTCTAATGTATGTATTTGGGGGAGAGGAATGTGGAACATGGTAGAAATGTATACAATTAAGCATAGAGCAAAAATAATGGTGAATGTTTCTGTCTATTTTGTAACGGAATTTGGTGGAGCAGAATGAAAGACTGAAAATGGTAAATTAAGGACAGATATTTTTTAAAAAGTGCTTCTTTGTGGGACACATTAACACATTGCTTCCATAAGGTGGAGTATTAGCTGTCAAAAAAAGATATCGCCGATAAAAGAGAATATTTGTAGCTCAGGGTTGAAAATGAGGGGTCCTTGGGGCTGAGTTTGGTTGCTTTTTTTTGCAGACGTTTCATTACCTATGTAACATCGTCAGCACTAGCGCCAAAGAGCACCAAGGACCCCTCAAGATGATATTAGCTACAGGAACTTGAAACCACAGTGTCAAGGTAGGAAAGGCCCTTTGGAGGAGATGGAAAACAAGGAGTGACTGCCATCTTCAAGTGTAGGGAATTCCTGGAAAGAGCTGGCTGGCCACGCTTGGAAATGAGATGCTGGATAAAATGAGCCCTCACAGTTTACTCTATGAAAGTTCTCCTTGTGTGGCCATTATGGATCATGGAAACTAAAAGAATGGCCCTCTTGAGGCTGCCATTCTTGGCGCAACAGTTTCCTTCACAGACTGACACAATCTATCCTTGTATAGAACAGGAGAAGTCAACCACAGGCATGTATCCATCTCAAGTTTGATAAATGGATTTGTTTTGGATGCAGCATGCATATACTATGGAGTAGAGAGTTGGTCTCTGACAGAAGGCCACCTGAAGAAACCAGAAAGCATTTGAAATGTGAATTTACAGGCGGCTGTTATGTATAAGCTGGGTTGACAAGATCAGAAATGAGGAGGTGATAAGCTGCCTGGGAAAGCCAAGGGAAATCACCAAAACAATTAAAAAACGAAAATTAGAATATTTTGGACATGCGATGCGACACCCAGAAAAATACGGCATACTCCATTTAATCCTCCAGGGAAAGATTGAAAGCAAACGAGGTCCAGGCAGAAGAAGAACGTCGTGGCTTCAAAATCTAAGGGACTGGTTTGGACAAAACTCAGCAGCACTTTTTCGTACGACTGCTGATAAAAACATGATTGCCAACATGATCGCCAACGTCCGATAACGGATATGGCACAAGAAGAAGAATGCATATACTAACTTGTGATATTCCCTCAACCAACGTTTTGCAAAAATTCAACCTACGGTGGCAAAAGCTCTCAAGTGAGGTTCAACTACTAAAGCATCCAGATTCAATGCACAACACCCAGGATTTCAATTAGGAATGAAGGCTAGGATTTCGGTAAAAACCATCAGCAAGAGGCCAGGGAATAAAGGTGAGTAGACCTCACTGATAAGAGCATGTCTTCCTGCATGCAAAATTCCCAGACTGCCTTTAGAGGCACAGAACGTCAACTCTGATTAACCTCACCCTGCAACATGTGGTGAAGGTTGCATTATACAATTGTTCACTGTGAACACAATTAAGTTTTATTCTGTAGAAAATTCTGTCTCTGCTGCTGGAGGACAGCTGCTAGATAGGTCAGGAACCATCACACAAGATAGAGAAATAATAATCACCTTATATTAGAGTCATTACAAATAGTCCTCAGCTTACGACGAAAATTCAGCGCAAAATTTTGGTTGCTAAGCAAGACAGCTGTTAAGTGAGCTTTGCTCCATTTTACACCCTACATTTGTTAAGTAAAT